ATCATGAAGCAGTTGACTCCTCCACGAGGAGTGACCTCCCAGTCTTCCACATCGCATCTGATGTCGTCAGCAAGACAGGTAGGTTGAAAAGGACCATCATAGGGACAGCTGGGAAATCATAAACAAATTTCCAGGTTGGCAGCAGTGTCGCCCAGCTAGTGTCGGCAGCCACAACGAAGGACGAGCAACACATCGGTGCGTCGGCTGTGGAAGCTGCTCAGAGTCTTCGAGCTTTCACTGAAGCAGTACAAGAGGTTGTTTCAACAAGGACAGATATCCACCTTGACACGTGCGTTTTTCCTTTCCGAGGTTTTAGCAGGCCCAAATATCCCAAATGATCCCAGCGTCTGGAATTTCAGTTTCGTCGTCTCATCCCGATCAGTCGTCCACGATTCTGGTAGGGTGTTCGATCATGTACGCGAACAAGCGCCACCAAATGTGCTTGCTGATGCAGCCAAGCAGGTACGTCGTCCCATCTGAGGGATATCTACAAACAAGCAGTAAGCTCCGCCTACTTTCTCTGAGCAAAGTGAATTTCAGGTATCGGTGAGCCTGCGGCAAGTGATCGCATGTCTCCCCGACAATCAAGCCATCGAGAAGGCAATCACGCAAATCCGCACCATCGGCGTCTCGTCCACCGTCCGCGAACCAGACGTTCGCACCGCGGCCTCGCGACTGGTCGACGCGACGTCGCAGTTGATAATTTCCGTGCGACAACCGAATAATCAAGAAGCTGTGAATGCTTTCGTATCGACTTATACCGACTTCCATACATCAGTGATTGCGTCCATAAAGAATCTCCCGGTAGGTCGATTGGTCCCATTGATTCACTTCGAACCTGGCGTTCAAAGGATTATTTAAGGACATGGATGCACGTCGTCAAACTGTCGATCAACTAGAAATGGCCAGGGAGGAGTCGGTGACATTGCTGTCCTATGTGAGCGCTGCATCAAGCGATATCACCCAAACGAACACTCTGTCGCACTCATCGCGTAAGCTGATCGAAACGGTGAACGAAATTGTCGAGCAGGTCAGCGTCGAACAGCCATGGCAACGTGAATGCGATGCAGCACTCAGACAGATACAGGTTTGTTTCTCTGACCCTTCGATAGAACCACCATTCATAAGAAGTGATCTAAGAACCTCTTGGGAGGTTCGTATCAGAGGTAGAAAACCATCACCCTTCCTAGCTGCCATGTCATTTGAGAGCATTTTTAGCGTAGACAGAAGGATTGAAAATCGCTCTGAACTAAAGCCAAAAGTTGAAGTTTCCGAGCATGAAAATCATTTGGAAACTGTAAGGGCCCTCTTTGGGAACATCTCTCGAGGCGGGCTCCATGAGGGCAAGTGTGTGAAAGGAATTTTTTATCAGTTCCGTCCATTCTGGTAGATAGGAAAGCGAAGTGCTCGACGAGCAGTTGGCGGGCAATACAGGGCGCCTGCTGTGGAAAGGCCACCCACGGGCCTAGAAGCCTAATTTGAGTGTGGGCAATATGTTATTTGAGCTCGTTAAGAGGAAGAAGCCAATCTGAGGAAATCCAAAAGGGGGTTAGCATCATCGCTCTAATTTTCAATAAGAAAGCAGGAATAAATGTCGAAATTCCAATGTCAGGGGACAGAGTTTCCCTACTGGGGATAGTCGCAGAAACTTCAGCTCTCACCTCCATCTTCCTTTTCCAATTTTTCATGATATCTTTACTAGCAAATTCTTTGGTACCATCACTTGCTATGGGTTTGCTAACCCATCGTCCATGCAGTATCCTACCCGATCTAGCGTTTAATTTTTCAGGGAATTCGTCACCTGACCGAACACGCTAACGTTCCGGTCAATACGAATACCTATTTCGGATGTCTGGACACAATGACCGAGCAATCACGACATCTTGGCGAATCCATGACGGGTATTGCCCGAAATGCCAAAGCAATGGACACACGAGCACTCTGCATTAACGTCAGGTTAGTCGAGTGATGGCAATCGTTGAGGGGCCATTCTGAAAGTGGCGTTCATTCAGACAATCGGCTGACGCTGTGTGCTCGCTAGCTGAATCGGCATCACAGGCTGCCTATCTCATTGGAATTGCTCACCCGAAGAGTGTACGTGGTGAGACGGCGATCATCGATGCGAATCGTGTACGGCGTAGTGGATTGCTCGTCCGTCAGGTCTGCGAACGTATTGAGCAGCAGAACTACACTCAAGAGCAGATTATCGATGTGAGTGGCATTTTATTGGTTGCTTTGGTGGTTTGTTTTTAAAAAGTGAAGTAGAAAGTAAATAAAAGAATAAATAAATGGCGGAAAGGCTTCAACCTCTTCTTCCTCATTTTAGATGATCAAATCTGATCACTTATTGAGATAGCCTGTAGTGGGAACCAACTCGATCCTTCGCTCCACGGCACCACACCCTTATCCATTAAGCTACCCCGACCCCACATACGGCACCATACCCTTACCCATTCCGCTACCGGAGCCCCACACGCCGTTTCCCAACGTCTTGAAGGCGCGTTTACTTCAGTTGATGAGCTTTTTGGGATTGGATCCTCCGAGGCGTATATAGACCAAATCGGAAAGAATGGTAAAAACAGGTACTGCCCTCAGCACTTCATGATAACTTTCAAGGGATAAAAGAGATAGGCTTGTAGGTGCTACCTCTGCTATAAATTCACTCAATTACTTATTACTTTACCACAGAAACTAGTAGAAAATGGTGCATTTTCCTGATTGAACAACAGTTTACCTTCATTCGTTTCAGGACGCAACGGTGGTCGCAAAACATACGTCGAACCTGGCCAACATGTGCCGCGAAGCTTCTGAGAAGTCACAGAACGTGAATGTCAAGAAGGAATTCATCAACTGTGCTGGAAAAGTTGCTGCTGGTACAGCCAAGTTGATTACTGCCGTCAAAGAACTCGACAGCCGACCGAGGTGGGTGCTCTGCCCCGGCTGCGCCATAGACTTCTTTCCTGGTTGACTTAATGGCAGTAACTGCATTTGGATATGTTTCAGTAGCGAAACTCGGGAAACTTGCACTTCCGCAGCCCAATCACTTCGTTCGGCCACTGAACAACTCGAGAGTTATGTGGATAATCCAGATTTTGCTGGTGTACCGGCTAGAATCAGCCCTTCGGGTCGTGATGCTCAGATTCCTGTACTCAGATCGACCAGACAGATGTTGGATGCGAGCTGTGAAATGATTACGTTCGTATTTTTCTGTTGGTTCATTACTTAACAACTCTGTGATTCTAACTGGTAAACCCTCGACCGTCGAATTTTAATTTGAGTTTTGGGTGTCCATTCCTGAATAAGAAGTAGAGCTTGTTTTTTTCAGTACGGCGAAAGCGTTGGCGTCAGCACCAATGGATGCGCCAACGTGGCAACGTCTTGCTGACAACAGCAAAGAGGTGAACTTTTCGTTTACCATTCGGGCTGGGATGAACTTCAATACGATTGGGCATTTTTCTGTCATTTGGGGGTCACTTTCATCCTCCTCCCTCTATACCTTTCTTTCTTTATCTTGCTTTCCTGTCTTTCAGAAACAACATAATAAATTTTTTTTGAAAAGATTTTATAGGCTTTTTTCCAATGGCTATCGTAAATCGAAATCGTTTAGGTCAGCGAATCCATCAAACGATTGGTGAGCTCAATTCACGAGGCCGCTCCAGGACAAGCCGAAATGGATAAATGCATTCGACAACTGGAACAGGTTAGTGGCCCATTTTGGATGTGTTGTCAGCGGTGTACCCTAACTGGTACTATTTAAATTTTGATATTTCATCGGTGTAGCCAGATATGGCCCCCTCTCTTCTGCCTGAAGGTATGGTGCTAACTGCAAAAACTCGCCATTTCTATAGGCCATGTAATCGCCCGAGCCTACTACCCCTTAAAAGCCAATAACTAAAAAATCCCGTCACTGAATCAGCGGATGAAAGCTTTTGGTGTTGACCAATCCCACGCCTACACCACCTATGCTTTAGCCATCAATCTAGTTTTGGAAAGCGCTTACGCATTCTACCTCCAGTCGGGATTATGTCT